GTTCTAAACCCTTTCTTCTGTCAAACGACTCCAAAGTGTTGTACAAACATTGCTGAAGACTCAACACTCTTGTGAGACATGGAAGTATTAACAGCCACAAAGGACTAAGCCTAAACAGGACTAGTGATTTCCCATAACAAAACAATATGCTCATGGCACGTCTAGTTCTTTGCCTTTCCAAAGCAATCTCCCCAGTTCTCATAGTGGAATCCACCATTCTGCAACTATGCTTAAATTTCTTTGCAAAAAAAATGATCAGACTGCTATTTTTCCTGCTGCTTTTTCCAGCCTAACAGGAAATGCTATATGGAAACCGTGCCTATTTAATCAACCTCTCCAAGTCCTTCTCCTTCCTTCAAACTTACAAACACATCTCTGGTGAGATGGGGCTCAGAACTGAAGGGAATCCCTCTGGTGCCACCCCCTCAGAACGGCAGGGCATCCCTTATCCAATCAGACCTCTGGGTAGTGTCCACTACACCAAAGGCCTTGGAGAAGCGGCTGATGCTGACTGGGGCTTTCTGCTGCCTGCCCCGTCCGGATCCCTGATTTCCAACCTTTGGCCTCACTGCCCTCCCTGTGGTTTCATTAATTGTCCCCGATGTTCACTTGTAGCCTGGGTCCAATGGCTCTTCTCCCAGCCCAGTCTGAGCGGGCGCGTCTGGACCCGGGGGCCAGGGCCCGCAAACAGCAGGGAGAGGGGCAGCGACCTCCCTGTTTTGGGACGCGCCAGCTTCCCTGCGAGCCCAGGCTCACCGGCCTCCGAGTGCCCCGCGCCTCGGCACAGCCCGCTGTGAGGGGGAGCGGGGATCCTGCTACGCGCCTGTGGCGGGGCCCCAGCGCCCCTGTCCCTACCCCCCACGCGGCCAGCGGGCTCCCTCCTGCTCACTGCGCGGCGGCGAGGGCTCAGTCCTCGGGGAAACCCCGGTTCCGGCACCCCCCGGACCCGCTCCTCTTGCCACAAACCCGGGAGTTTGTTTTTGATCAACTGACAGCCTTCCAGCCAATCAGATCGCACCTTCTTCGACGAGATCGGGTCCTCCGCCCAATCGCTGGCCTCCATGCTACATGGTGCCGGCCGCCATAGAGACGCCTAAACGCTGCCGCTGTTGCCAGGGCTACAGCAACGCTCAGGAGTAGACCTCGGCCAAGCAAAGCCGGCGGGGTGGGTAGGGGAGTCACTCTGCTGGAGCGGGGGGGAAGGCGCGGGGAGGGGAGGGGGGAGCGATGTAGGGCGGCGGCTGCCGCCAGGAGCATCCCAGGAGCGAAGCAGCCTTGGCGCGCAGAGAGCTTGGAGCGGGGGGACAGGCCCCGGGGCCGGTGGTTTGCAGCGACCGCTGCGTCCCTCCTCGCCCCTGGAAAAACGCTGCGATCCCGGCTGAACCATGGCACAAAAACCCCACTCAGCTGGACTGCGCCCCAAAGGGGTCCTCTCAAACACACTCTCGCCTGTCCAATTATTGCCTTTAAATACAGCTAGTCTCTCGGACCATAAGGAATTACCTTCTTTAAAATGTCCACACGATTCAGTTCGAGCAGTTATTAAACCTTAAGAGACGAACGTTAAAACAATCTGGAGTTGAAATGAGTGGCTTACAGGACCTGAAACTCAAACTTTGCACAAAGATTTTTTTTACCACCCTTTACACTGGGCAGAAATATTTTCTTTCGCCATCTACAGAGGCCTTCAAATTTATAGACACACGAATTAAAAGGTCTTTACAATGGAAGACGGTGGTGTGTGCTTTTAATAATTTCATTGACATTTATGGTACACAGTAAATCAGAAGGAATCTCCCTTCCATTGAAGCCCCAGTCGTCTTAGTAATTTGGCTGGAAATTTTGGTTGTTTCCTTTTTAAAGCAACTAATCCTATTTCTCAACTACTACTCATAATTTGGGAAATGTCTAAATCTGATTAGGAGTCAAACATTGAATTACTTACAGAATCATTCTGTCATACTGTCACAAAATAGACTAATTGTGGCACATTTACAGCACAAGAGATATAGATTATTTGCTCAAATACTTATTGCTGGTCTACACATGGGGATTCGCTACATTAACCTTTAAATAACAGCTATACCAGAATGTGTGCGCACAGAGTAATTCTAGAATAATTTTAATGTGCAGACAAACTAAGTAGACATTACCAATGAATCAGAAAAGTCAGTTACTGCAAATGTTAAGAGTCAATACATGATTTTTCAAGGCTGTATGTTCTTTACCAGAGAGGGGGATAAAGCAGAATAGTTTAATTGGCAATGCCATTAATCCTGTACTTGACATTTACATATTTGCATGGAAACAGAAACTAAAACATTTAATTGAGTTCAGTAGATTTTTATTGCTTTTGTCAACTTTTTGAAACATTACAAAAAATAACTTTTCTAATCACAAACAAATTACAAAGGTTGGATCTTTTACATTAGAGAAGTCAGAATTTTGTGTACTTCATATAAACTTAAAACATTGTTTCTACATTTGGAATAAAGTTTAACTGGCTTTGGGTTTTATTATAAAAGTAAAAGCATCACTGTTTTATTTAGAAAAGCAGTCATAAAAAGCTGGAACTGTACTGTATGTAACTACATTTCAAGTGACCAAATAAAATGAATACTAAAATTTTAAAAATTGTTCAGTTAAATGGGCTGAACATTGGAAGACACATAAAAACAATGTCAACTATGTATCAACAAAAAAGGAAAAATATGGTTATAATGCCATGTCATCTCTTATTAATAAGTCACTATTTAGAAAAACGCTGGATGTTTGGCAATACTCCAAGAACGCCAAATAAAGTGTCAATATGTACTAAATTCAATATGAAAAAGACTTCAGGTTAATATCAATTCCAACTACAAGTTTTTCCTATAGGTGACAATTTTAGTAAGTTATAAAGTTACAAAATAAATTTCACTTTTAATTAAAATCACTAGGCAAATTTGTTTTGCATTCAGAACACTACTTTTTCATAGACTGTGCACCTATAGTCTTAAATTTATTTTTTTTAAATTATTGTTGATATAAACAAGCCACGCTAGTACTATGCTAAATAATGTGACCTTGGTGAGTAATTTAAAAAAATTAAATTACTAATCATATGAAACAAAAGCAAATTATATGTGGCGTTAATGGCCTAAACATTCTATGGTTGTGAATTTAAAACAATATGAACCAATCAATTTATGTTATGCATTTACAGAATGTATGTACAATATATAACCCTTTATAATGCTACAGGCTCTGTTACATTAAACTTACTTATTAGAGTTATATTTTATAGCACTTAAAACCTGCCTTTGAAAAGGGCAAATATTAGAAAACTTCTGTATACATTGATAACTGCATCTCAAGTGAAGGATACTGGGAGAGGTCTTCCTAAACATAAGAGAAATCATACATTTGGCTGGAAAAAAATGCTAGTGCTCTGAATTCTGTTCTACAAGTTTTGGGATAAATTTGGCAACCTGGAACATTTTGCATTTTTTACTTTTAGAAATTATATATTAAAATAGAGAGGAAAGAATAATTAATTTGGGCACATCTAAAACAGAATTAAAAATATATTTCTTGTAATACAGAAGAAAAACTAGTAAAAATGATTTTTTGTAAAGCAAGTTTAAAAAGGACTGCTTTGTAAATGACACGTTTAAGAAGATATTTGAATTGTGTGGTCAAAATTAAGACCTATATTTTATGTAAACATACATCTTTATAAATAAATTAAAAAGGATCAAAAGAGGGATTTCCTGAGGTGGCTCTGCAGCCAGATACACAGTAGCATTAAGCTTTATCCCTGGCAAACAAGGCATCTAACAAAAGTGCAGGGCTGTTCATTTTATTTTACTGTTAGAATGGAAAAAATATTGACTTAATTTTAAGTTTTATCCCAAGATCAATCAGTGCACAGTAATTATCACTGCTCATTCACACCTATTAAGGGAACTATCTATATCAAGGAAATGGTGTCCTTTGCTATATTACTTTAACACTATACATGATTTTTTTTAATGAAGAGAAGAAAAGAACATTTATACAAATACAAAACAAGCAGTAAATTACTTAAACATAAGTTGCCAGTGGGTTTTTATGCATATAATACCAGGTGATTTTGATGTCCAGTGGTTTAAAAAAAAGTGAGACTACCCCATTATTAATTAAAACATTGGAACAAAATGTAAACAAATTTGCAAGTCATAGTATTTCTGGCACTGAATAATTATTTACATTATTCAACAGAATCAAAGGAATACTGTGATACTAAGAGAATTTCAAATTTACTTAAAATGGGAAAATACCCACTTCCTGTAAAGTAGCCAAAAGATATTAACTTTTTGGCAATGGAAACCAGATAAAAAATGGTCAGTGTCACGAAACTCTGACCTCCAGCATTAAAGGGTTAAAAATCTCAAGACATCAGATGTCAGTTTGGGTCTTTGGAAACTGTTGCGCAGCTGTGGACATGGAAAAATAAAATGGTAAAGGAAGACAAGCAAGTTTAAAAAGCACTGTGGATAATGCTATGTATACTGGAGATTTTTTTTCTCCTTCTTGAGTATATCAGAAAGATTATAACAACTAGAAGTTGACTTGCAAACTTGGCCTTCATTCTTTGAGAGAAATATTTGGGAGAGATGGCCATAATTCTAATTTATATCTTATTTCAACCAAAGGAAAAAATATACTTTCCTTGAAAGAGTAAGGCTATGTCTACACTGGTGGGTTGTTGTGCCAGAAGTATGCAAATGAAGCTAAGCATGAAATATCACCGAGCCTCATTTGCATATCTAATGAGCCACCATTTTTGCTGAAGAGGCTCTTGCACTAGAAGGAGCTGTCTACACTTCCACTTCTTGCGCAAGAAAAACCCTCTTGCGCAATGCCGCTACGCTGATTATTTTCAGGAATAACGACATTGCGCAAGAGGGTTTTTCTTGCGCAAGAAGGGGCAGTGTAGTCAGCTCCTTCTAGCGCAAGAGCCTCTTCCGGTATACAAATGAGGCTCGGTGATATTCCACACTTAGCCTCATTTGCATACTTCTGGCACAACAACCCGCCAGTATAGACATAGCCTATATGTTTAGGCTAAGACACAGTCCATGCCGATATCCAGGAATGAAGGAATGCATATACTGTACCTGACTAAATATTAGTTAAATTGATAGTGCTGATCTTATTTGATTTTGCTGAGACTTAAGCTATTATTGTCATGTCAGTTTGCATAGCATTATTCATACTGCTTTGTATTGTTGGTTATATATAAAAATATTTTTTTCTAGATTTCACCCTAAATTCAGCAGCACTATTTTACTATATCATGATTAAACTTTACATAGATTACCATCCCCTTTTACTGTAAAGTTTATACTAAAAAGTTAATTACACTCATTTCCACCAATACCGACTTACGGTTTTTAGTTTTATTGTAAAATTATCCTTACCCCCAAATTAGAGCTCGACAGCACCCAACTCCATTTTGAGTGATTTTCAAAAACACTGCCTTGGCTTAATTCTGCTCCCTTTGAAGTTAAATGAGTTCTTAAGCATACAATTAAACATAAAACATATTAACTCTGCTAAATCTGTTGAAGTTAAGCCAAAGCAGAGTCCTTATGAAAATAGCGCTTTCTATTTTTAATATATATAGTTTGTATTTAAATATATAATTATGGGCATAGCAAATGATGTTGGCAGGTCAAAACTTAGATAAATCATTTGAGAAAATAAAACAAAAACCTCAACAATAAGGCAAAGAACATGAATAGTGAAAACAACAGGAATGTGATCAAGATCTTGATCTTTACATAAAATTACATTTCCTCAAATGCTCACACTAAACATTGCAAGGGTTAGAGATGCTAATACAATAACTTGGAACACATCATTCTCAGTGAACTATCTAAAAGTCCAAGGGCCCCAATAAAACAAATTTACTTTAATATACAAATATTAACTCTCAAATTTGTTTTACATCATTAAGATTCATATCAATTAAAATAACTAAAACAATTTTTTTTAAAATCAAGGTTAGTATGCTACCAAATATACCCTTTACAATGGAAAGGATCATAACTGTAAACACAAAACCCAAAGTAATTTGTTATCCATAAAATACTGGTCATAAAGCTAATTCAGAATTATAACCAACTGCTGATAAGTTAGTCAAACATTTTGTAAAGCAAAAAAAGAATTAAACCTGATTCAAGAAAAAAATACATTCTGAGGAGGACAAGAGATGCTGAAAAGGCTCCAATCTCCTCTCTCAGAATGTGTGTCTTTCATTAATCTCAACAGAAGTTATGCACGCACAGAGAGAAGAGAATCTCTCTAAGAGTTCAGGACTACAATGTAATGAGCATTAATAAATAGTTATCAACCAAACCAAATACATACTGACTTATTTCTGTTAGAGATCCATTTTACATTACTTAAACATTGAGCTTCCAGAAATATCAAATACTGATTTGAGATTAAAACTACATTTAAAGAGGACCCGTATTGCTATTGAGTAATATAATAGCATTTGAAGAATAAATTTTAAGGGGCATTGAACAACATATATATTTTAAGGACTACATCACATAACAATTTATGGTTGAAAGACCAATCCCATGAAATATGAATGATAGAGTCCGGAAAGATCATCATATCGTGGATAAAAATAAAAATGCAGTAATGGCACAGTAACATTTGTTCTATGGAAACTAATACACTCTATGTTTTCCCCGCAAATAATATCAAATGAAATTGGCTGCAGTGAAAACACAATTCTGTAGTACAAGAAGTTAGAGAGGTATTACAACATACTAAGTCATGTGGACCAATAATTATCAGCAAAAGCTGATTTGATATTTATGCACATATTGATTACCAAAAAGAATATGCATTCATCTCAATCTTCCTATTTAAAAAAAGAAAATAAAATTTTCAATAAAATAAATATGAGGAGTGATTACCACTCATCTTACTTGTATGAACATCTCATTATACACAATAGTATCTACAGTGCTAATAACTGCAGTCAAACGTGATACTTCTTAAAGATACATGAAAATCATCATTCAATGATATGATATTCTACAGTGATATATACATATACAAACACACATTCATAATTCCTCTTGATTTCATTCTATAATGATGTTTCAGCATCCACATACTTCATTACAGATGAATCTTCCATGCTTATTTTCACACTTTCTGGTTTCTCAGGGCTGTTTAAAGCAAAGACAAAGGTTTATAGTCTCTAACAAATTGACAAAAAGATTAAGCCAAATGCTTCCAAACTTTAGCAAGCAAACATCTAGGCTACGTCTAAACTGCAGGCTTCTTGCGCAAGAACTGTTTTGCACAAGAGTTCTTGCACAAGAACACGTCCATACTGCCATGTGCTCTTGTGCAAGAGCGTCCATGGCAGTGTAGACGCTCTCTTGCGCAAGAAAGCTCTGATGGTCATTTTAGCCATAGGGGTTTCTGTTGCCTGTCTATACATGCCTTTTTGCGTAAGAGCTCTTGCGCAAAAAGACTTATTCCTCGTGGGGAGAGGAATAACTCTTGCACAAAAAGCACTGTGTTCTTACGCTTTACTGTAGTTTTTTTGCGCAAGAATGGGCTTGTAGTGTGGACGCTCCGCAAGTTTTTGTGCAAAACTCTGCTGTGTAGACGTAGCCCTAAAGTTTCAGATTTATACATGCCTTTTTGCGTAAGAGCTCTTGCGCAAAAAGACTTATTCCTCGTGGGGAGAGGAATAACTCTTGCACAAAAAGCACTGTGTTCTTACGCTTTACTGTAGTTTTTTTGCGCAAGAATGGGCTTGTAGTGTGGACGCTCCGCAAGTTTTTGTGCAAAACTCTGCTGTGTAGACGTAGCCCTAAAGTTTCAGATTAAAAGTTTGAGATATATATATATATATATATATATATATGGGTAAATTTATAATAAAAATCTTATGCACACAGTACTAGTTTGAAAAAGGAAGCCAGTAAACAAACCTATAAGTAAAATCTTGTATTTGCTTGCTATTTTGCTCTTACATTCCAAACCCAATATTAAGATTCTTGTGAACTCTGATAATGCAGAAAAATATATACTTAGACATTTAAATGTTAATGAAAACTCCTAAACTTCTGTAGTTCCATCATTACCCTTCTTCAAATCTCTCCTTCAAACTGTCCCTTTGAAGCAATGCCTACAATAAACTTACTTTAGGTTGCTGATGTGCAGAGCCTACTACTTGTTACGTTAAGGCATACTTGTCTCATTGTTTCTTTATATTCCCTCTTCTGTCAGTCTCCATATTGTTTTTGTCTTGTACTTAGATTACATCTTTTTGTTCTGTGTTTGTGTAGTGCCTAGGACAATGGAGTCCTCGTGGATATGATAATGGTAGCAGTAAATAACAAAATATATTTTAACTATTTGTCTAAGAACTGTATAAAAGATTGTAGGATGAAAAAAGAGGCGAGCTTGTGTGAAAGTCATCTACTCTTACCAAAGAGATGGTCAACTATTAATTTTCAGGAGTCAACCTTTTACAGAGCATGAAACTTGAAGAGTTACTCTCTACAGAGGGATAACTCATTTACAGAGTTCTTTACAAGGGCAGAGGCAGAACACCATCAAAGAATTTTAAAATGCCTGCCACTAGCTATCTAAATGGTGTGTGCTGTGTTAGCTCTCATTTTTCTTTTAAGCACTCTCTGGGTTTTTATCTCCCTTCAGCCTGACTGAGTTCATCCAACCAAGGAAGAATCTGCGATAGGATACTGGGAGGAATCACTCCACATGTAGTTTGTAATAGGGATGTAAGCAACTTGTCAACTACCCAATAAGCTTAAGAGAGGCAGCAAGGGCAGGGGGGAGAGGGAGCAGGAGCTGGTGCTGGGGGGAGCCAGCTTAAAAGATGGTTCCCCCACAACACCATCTCCGTGGGGGACAAGGGAGGCAGAGGTGTCCCTAACTGCTGCACCTCTCCCTTTGAAATGTACAACAGCCGCTTGCAGGCAGCTCTTGTACATTTCAAAGGAAGAGGCACAGGAGCAGGGACTTAAGCAGTCCTGCTGTGCCTCTTCCCGCAGATGGTTCTTGTACATTTCAAAGTGAGAGGCGCAGCGGGACAGCAAATGCTCCCCTTATCGACTAATTGAGTAATCGATGGAAATTCCATCCACTACTAGATTAGTTGATTATCAAAATTTAACATCCCTGGTTTTTATTAGGCACTTACTCCCAGCAATGAAAACAAAATCCTTATGACAAAGAGGTTGTTGGCCATCGTGATGCATGCAAGTCCAATGAGAAAATTCATATCTGCTTTTGGCCCTAACATTTCCAACATATCATTTCATTAGTTTTCTCGCATTTGAAATAAACTTTTTTCCATTGAAACTTTAAAATTAGACACAAATTTTGGTTATTGAAGACAGGTAGGAATTAGAAAATAGAGAATAAACTAACAGGGATGGGTCCTAGAGCAGAACGAAGCTGTCAGAAAGCCAGTGGATTCTTCCCTTGAGGATTTCTCTACACCTTCCATCTCCATGATCAGAAAATCTATGGGGAGTATACAGGTGATGCAATAGCTCATATATCAATTCCTCATTCTATCCTGAGTGCAGGAGACTGGACCAAAGAAAAGGGACACCTATGGACTGAAGGAAGCCAGAAGAGGTCGTTTTTACTGATACTGGGGGCTAGACACTAGCTTCCCAGTCTTATTTTCAGATGTATAGAGCATCTTCAGTTCTCAGACCCTTCTGATACTCAGGTCCTTTACGAACACATGCCAAGAAAACTTTTAGTAATGTAGTTCCTTTTCAGATTAGCATACAGGTATCAAGCAAGCTGGAATATCTTGTAATATATGAGACAATACTTTTTACATTTAAATTAAAAGGATTCATAGAAGGTTGACATTAGTTACTGTATAATCTCTAGGTAAAGATCACCAAGAAAGAAGGTTTTCTGAATCTCAAGGGACACTTGAGAGTAAGAGATCAATATAATTTCTTCCACATATCTTCAAGGTATAGAAAATACATTTTTAAAACAATATACTGTACACAAACAAAACTGCAGTTAGAAAATGTGTAAGTGGGTAATTATAGCTACCTCAGGTTAGCTCTGGTTACTTTGGCATTCTCTGTATTCATGGAAAGAGCCTTCCATTGTGCAGTTTTGGCCATTTCATCTGATATGTTTACAACTGAGGGATCAATGCTGAAGAACAAACATACTTTCTGGTTAGTACTCGATACTTTGCAAAAGCATTAACTTTGTCACCCATATTTCTTATGTCAGTACTGCCTTCTGTTATCACTTAAAATGTCATTTGTGGCTATGTAAGTAATAATCATCACAATGCAGTTAAACAGAAATTTAGACTATCAAATCCTGGGTGTTGTTGTAGCAGTCTATAACTTTTTGATAGGAGATGGAGAGATGTAATTTTTCTGTTTTTCTATCTTTCTACCTTGTGTAACACAGTAACTTTTGAACATAGCATTCCATCAATTCCAAAATTTCAGGAAATGTTTTAGACATCAAGAGCCAGAATCCTACTGATTTGGGGAAAGAATCAGAAAACCAAAAGGAGGGGAAAGGGGCACATCGAGCCCCTGGCATCCATTTAACATACCCATAGCTTCATGTACCTTTGCAATTGTCTGTAGATCAAACAACTGCACATAATTCATGCCATGTCTAATCTCCACCCAGCCTCCCAATGAAGTTTAACATGTTGATATCCTGACAGACTTTTCTCCCATGATATGGAGAAGTTTGGGCAGAGCTGCAGAGAGTCCCTGCAACAGAAGGAGATGTCAATGTGGCACACAGGAATGCTGTGGAGTGGAATGCAGGAATAATCCTCCCCAACTGTCTTATGAATTAGATACTTCATTCTCTCAAACATTTTTCCCTATAATCTTTCAAAAATCCATTATGAGTTGGTCAGGAATTATAAGAAGTCATACTTTATTTTTAAATAAAGACTGACTCTTTCAGATATTAAAATTTATCTAAATTATCCCCAGGAAATTATCAGGGGAGAAAGCTTAGACTATTATTCTGAATTTGATAAATGAACTGAGGTGGAAGTGGACATATATTATGAAGTATGAAGAATAAAATATCAACTTTTTTCTGCTGAAACAGCATTTGAAATCAGGTGATATTTGCTAAATAGCCTATAAAAATCTTGATTTTATAAAAAACTAGTTTTTATTCCACCATCCTTGGACAAGTCTTTATATAGACACCACACAGTACCTTAGTTAAGTCACGTTTGCCACTTTTCCCCATTCAATCCCACCACAAGTGTAGACACGCTAACTCATTCTCCACTAGCATGCACCTTATTGGATCTATTTATACCTGTACAAGTGGGCTAGAAACATTAGCTTATCAGGACAATAGTGTTTCAAACCCTCTTTCTTCAGATATGATTCACGTGTAAGACAGTGGAGAATAACGTAAAATTCTCCACAAGAGAAAACAAATAATTTATCCAAGTAGAGAGCACATTTATAATGAGAATCATTAAGGCATAACTATATATATATATATATATATATGCACACTAAAAATTAAAGAGGTATAAAAATTATGATTGGCAAAAAACAGTTTTAGACTCCAACCTTCTAAATCAAAGCAGCTGGTAAACATATGGCTTAACTATTAGTTAATTATAATTAAAGGACATCTAACATTTCAGAACATTAGCCATGCACGGGAACACACAAACATTCTATAGACAAGAACTGACCAAAACAGCTTCTTCACGCTGTGAACAGCTGGTCGAAACTGAGTCATCTGATCTGTTCAAGATGGTTATGTGAATGAATGATTAAGATGGACACACAAGCCCCTATATCATAAAAGGCAAGATTTGCTTTAATTCTTTCTCATTCCCCAATCCCTCACAGCTAGCTAGCTGAGTCACAAACTTAAATGTAAACTTGTTCATTCAATAATTTTTATTTAAAGGAAAAATATAAATATTACATATAAATACTATTTAAAAACCCCAAATTAAAAAATAAATAAATTGTATCATACCTGTATTTTAGGGCTTTTACAGGAATCTCCAAGACATTTCCTCCTTCATATGGAAGACGTACAGTTTCACTGTCTACTGTCTGAAGCATTCGCTCTGCTTCCTGTAGGTCATATGCATGACATTCATAAAATTACATAAGCAGAAAAAAATCAAGGAGCCAAAGCCAACTAGTATTACACATTTTCCCCAATTCAGTAGGAAAAATTACCTTTGTATACTGTGGTGGCAGAGGGAACTTCTCTAAGGTATTTTTCTTTCCCTCTCATTCCCTCAGCTAAATAATGTTTAAGGTGAATAAGAACCTCTAATGAACTATTCAAAAGGGAACTGCTTATGAGACAGCTACTTGAGCTGAAACCTTTATGGGGAAAATTATACAGGCAACATTATTGGTAAATAAGGATCCACTATTCTGTTTTAACTATCACCCTGTCACATACAGTGAGTAAAATCCTAGCACGGACAAAGTCAATGGACTTCTGTCATTAAGGTCAATAGGGCCAGGGTGTCACCTTACATCTCTAGAGAATGGTGAAAATCCCAGCACAACCAGTAGGTCATGGCAGACACTGCTTCTGATGCTAAATTTGGACAATCTACTGAACCACAATTAGGTATCAAATCCCATACCACTGGTATTTTTATAAAACTATCCCATTCACTTGAATCCTAACAACACAGATTCTGGCTGTAACACCAAAGGCAGATAATTCCAAATGTTGATTACCTTAGGTATAAAAATCCATATGAATTTAATGTAAGCTATTTTTTTTTAAACATTTCATGACAATTACATCACCCACTTCTAAATACTTGGCTATTTGCTTATATTTTCTAATGCAGTTTCCTCTAGCAATTTTCAACTCACTTTTGGTCTTTTGTAATCTTACCTCTTTTGCCCTTTTCTTTTTGTCATCTTCTTTTTTCTTCTTACTTTCTGGCATAAGGTCATCCAACCAACTAAGCTCTCGGTTGGTGAAACACAAGTCCATGAGCTTACGAATGAACACTAATGCTAGAACCTTACAGAAAATAAGAATTGTATCCTTTAGAAACATATTAGTGTATAAATTTTTTATTTTATAAGCTTCTTAAACTAAGGACAGAATATTTTTCTATGCATTCAGAGGTTATCACATCATAACTTCATAAAAATAGATCCGACTCACTAGTAAAAGAACAGACGGGACTATTGAGATAACTACCGTAAACCTTTTTTTTTTAACCAAGGCTCCAGCTATTCAATTAAATATGATGCTTATTTTAAAGGGAGAAATTATAGTTTGCTTTCAAGAAGGAAGTTTTTTTTACTAAAAACCTTTTTTTAATTCAGCCAAAAAATCCTGAATAAATGCATTAATCTACAGACCCTTTTGGAAAATGAATACATTCCCAAAGATGCAGGGAAAGAACTTACCATCATAGGGAAAACAACAGCAGCTGCAGAGGCTTTAATCACCCACAAAAGAACTAGACAGGTGAGCTGAACAACTGTGAAGACATGAACCTTCCAGAGTGGTACATAACGTAGGTAGATCAAATCAGGTTGATGTTTGGCAGGCATTCCAAACAATTTTATACGGTCAAAAAACTATGAAAAGAAAGTCATCCTCAGTTAATGATTTTATCCACGAAGACATTAACAGGATAATTAAAGACATGGGGGATACTGAAAATAAGATTCCTTCATTTAAAAACCTATACATGAAATACATTAATATAGTATATATTATATGTAAGTCACTATTTGCTTGGGCTTTTAGAAAATGGATATCAATATTGTGCATCAATTGCCTGGTGAAAGAACAGATCAGAATTTAAGTGTTAAGGAAGAGCAATTATCTAGATTTAATGCTCAGTACATCCTAATCTGACAGACAATACATTGTACTTTTACTTACACTTCAATAAAATGACATTTTAAAGTTTCTTTCAGATGCAAAGCAACTGAATTCAGGTCATATTTCCAATTTTACCCTAAGCACCTGGTATATTTTCTATTAACAGAAAGGATATTCCAGTCAAAGACAACTGAAATTTAGTGTTCTTTCAGCAGTAGTGTTTCTTAAAAGGCAATAAGCTTGTTTAATAAAAACAGAACTTGCCTGGATGCCCCTTAGCGAAGATACTCCCATGTAAAGAAAGACACCATATAAAACTGGCATTGGAATAAACTGGGGGGGGAAAAAAACAAAGTTAAAACACTGGCTTTCTCGCTGCTCCCAGCTTGGGTGGAGGGGGGTGGGACT